TTTTTTTTTTTTTTTTTTTTTTTTAAACAAGGTAGCTGAATTTGTTCAGTGTAGTTTCTGTACCTACCATGCAGACAAAGCAAGCTGTGCTTGGAAGGCTATGCAGAAAAACAAAGTCTTTCTGACTAAATTTCAGAGATGGGATGATAAACAACTGAAATGATTTTGATCTACAGAAAAGGGACATGGCAGGAGGGAAAACAGCGCACAAACAGTATACCCAAAGCCATAGTAACATCCTGGCTGGATTTTGTGATGGCCGAGGGCACTGTGACTGCTCTCTAGCTGGAGCCGAGGGTCAGGCTGTGGCCACCTCCTTCCTCTCTCATCCTTTGGGGAAGGTGTGGGTGTTTGTGTTGAGGTGCTGGTCCCAGCTCGGTGTCCGTCCACTCCTTCTCTGCTGCGTGCTCAGGTGTAGCTACACTGGGGCGAAGGACCTATGTCTCTCTCCTTGTAGCATCCTCTTGAATGGCTTGTGACTTGGACTATAATCTTGAGTATAATTCAGTGGTACTGCTCTGGTAGCCAGGTGAGGGACTCGTGCTGCTGGACTTGCCAGGAGGCAGACCTGGAGTCTATAAGGGAACTGAATGGTAAACCTGTCTAGAGGGTTATCTGCAGACATGGAGAGAAGTGCAGAGATGCATGGGGTTTTTGTGGGCTAGTTCAGGATACTGCAATTGCACCACTTTGGCTCCAATAACTTTTAGAATTGCATCCGGTTCATTTGGTGCAAATACCTAACAGTTTGGCCAATCTAAACCTTACTTACATTAGCTTAGTTTAAATTTGGTGTTTAAAGCTGTAATTATCTGTCTGCTTTAGACATTCAGAATGATTTAGTGAGATCAATTTTAAACGGTTTTTAATTAAACCAAAAAACCTTTCCCATTTTTACAGAAGAGGCCTGTGACTAGCCTTTGTAAACAGCGATAAATTGTATCCAGTCTCAGAATGACTTTTTTCTGCATGACCGATTTCTTCTGCTGATGGCAAATTTAGGCTGTTGTTTTGTATATAAACTAGAAGAATTAAATTCTAAAGAACAATTTGTTCAATTTTTGTTCCTTTACTCCAAGAGTGGTTCCTATTTGTTAAGAGTTCTATTAAATTATTCCCAGTACAGCATTTCACAGTCTTTTTATTGTAGGCAGGCTGATGGACTCTGTGACCTTTTTTTATTTCTGGTTTCTGTGATGCCTTTTCCTCTGACAAAAGAGAACGTAAGAGACAGCTGGGGTATTCTAATTTATGGTGATAGGAAGCAGAATACAGAAGCTTAACTGCAGTCCGAGTGTGAGTTCTGCCACTATTCTAGTACGTGGAAAATGTACAAATTGCTTTGTTGAAGGTTATTTGGAGAGAGTGCAGTGAATGTTGGGAAAAGTCTCCTAGGAAGTCTCAGATCTAATGCTTAAATTTTTGTATAGGATGTCACTGTAGTGAGGTGTGTACGGGACCTGTGTTAGGAGTTGCTGAGGTGTTTGGATGATGTGCACATCTCTCAATGTAAAAGTTGATAAAGGGTTGTGATTAGAGATGAATATTAAATATATTGCATGTAAAATTTTCTTTTTTTCTGAAACATGTTTTTGAAAGAGCTCTGTGGGGGTGCTAAGAATATTTCTACCACCTGAGATTCTGGCAGTTGATTCTGTTTCAGTGAGTAGGGGGCAGCTAATTGAGGGCATAATTCAGCTAGTCACTAGATCCCTTGGAAAGGTGATTCTGGCAAATGGGCCCGGTAAATACGCTTTTGTGTTACAAAATGGATGACGGTGCAGAGCTTGTATTCCCATTGATTGTGTGCAGGACAGAAGAATGGAATACCTTTTGACTAGCAGTAAATCCATATGAAACTGAAAGTAGTCACTATGGTAGTCTTTTATCCATAATTTTTTTGTATAGAATTGTACAGAAAACAAAGACAAGAGACCACATTCTGATCTCCCACTTTTAACGTTCTTTGCTTTTTTTATCTTGGTTATTTCTATTCTGCTCTGCAAGCAGCAAATTTTTCTTTTCATCTATGTGAATAAGGTATATGTGGGGAAATTGAGCTATTGAGCAGAGGCCCTTTCTTAAATATATTACTATTATAGTAATGCTAGCAAGTATATGGTGGCATTAATTTTCTAGGACTGATGGTCCTGCATGCAAAACTTTAACTTTGCATTTTGGACAATAGGTGGTACAGTAAATCTAAATGAAAACTTATAAAATATCTCATTAGACTGACAGATATGGAGCCATGGGTCGCATCTGTTCTGGAAGCAGAATCTGAAGTGCTCACTCATATTAAAACATGGATATGAACACAAGAAACTGGATACAAGCAACAACAGATTATGCACAACATTTTTTTTTTTCAAGTATGGTTCTCACCTTTTTGATGCAGATTCAGTCCTATTCTAGATGTGCATGTAAGTCTGAAAATCACTCTGGATCAGAGAGAGTTAAATAAGGTCTGTGCTTCAGTGTGCAGTGCTAAGTGAATTGAGAATGAAGGGGTGCAAAGCATTGCTATGAACAGGGAAGATGATGTGGTTCATCTTACCCACGTTTGTGTCCTGATGGACGTGATTATGTTAGGGAGTTCACTTAAAATCAGGTGCAAACCCTTTGAAAGTGGATGAATACACACAAGAGTTCTCTGGTAACAACTTTTCTCCTCTATCTGCAGTGTGGTCAGTGTCTTTGTTTTGTCGTAATGGAAACTGATGCTCTGTTTCACATTCCTGAAACAATTATTTTCAGATGCTATGATATGTTAAGCCTCAGAAAACTGCAGAAACACTTTAATGACTTTTTTTTCCCCCCCGCCTCTTCCCTCCTCCCTCAGATTGTCAGGAGCAGTTAATGCCTGCAGGCTCTCTTCGTAAAAAGAAGCTGGCAAAAAGACCTGGATACATGAGGCCAGAAGCTCAGCGACAGATAGGGTTTCAGTCCCTGGATGCCTGCAAGCTGTTCAACTCAGAAGAGCTCAAACATGGCAGGCAGCATTGTGGAGACTTTGAGAACTGCTCTCTACGCAGACAATACAAAAATAAATTTGAATTCTTACACTGTAGTTCAGTTGCAAGTAGTGCTGTAGTTCCCACTAATGGGGTAAAAATGTTGGACACTACTGGAAATGTGCCAGGGAGCTGCAAAAATCTTTCATCTTACAAGAGTCCACAGCCAGAAACCACAGTGATACCAGTTTATCCTGCTGCAGCAACAAGCAAGGGAGATGGTTCTGCTGTATGCTGTACACGGCAGAAGAGCCATGGCGCTAAAGTGAGCAAGCCCCAAAACACGTATGCTTTGGATCGGACAGAAGTGAATAACAACTGTGAATACCAAAACAGAGATGTTGTTTCTTGTTCTGTTGGTGGACACGATAGCTTTAGTTCAAGTTTCAGCTTCATACAGCTCTCCCTGAATTCATGCTCTGGAGTAAGCGATGCTGAAGGCAAGTCAACTGTCGAGGAAGCTGAGTATGTTCTGCATCCCAGCACCGCAGGAAGTCTGCAGAAGCCAGAAGAGACAGTGCAGACTCGTGAGCACTCAGGAGCTTTGCATTGCTTCTCCAAGCCCACAGAGGATTTGGAATATGAAAATGAGACTGCAGCAAATGATAAACTACAGGACTGTGAGACTGTCTCTCTCTCGGATACAGATGCAACATCTTCATATTCCTCAGATGCAGCATCTGCTGGCTCTTCTGTCACCTCAGGCTATGAAAGTAGCTTTACTGTTAGTGACCATAACTGGGATACTTTGATGAAAAAATACGAACCAGTGCTACAGGACTGCCTGCTTGGCAACCGCAGTACGTTAAAGGTTAGTTATTTCACATAATCTTTGATTCCTCCTCCTGGCCCAAAACCCATCTGTATTTATAGTGCCAAAGTCAAAGCTGATGTAGGAGTTGGGATATTAATGGCTTTTGTGACATTTGATTAGAGAGGCTGACAGTAGCAGTCTGCATGGTAAAAGTGAGAGAAATGGTTTCCTTTTCTTTTTGGTCCTTTAAAAAAAAGGTGATGATGTTGCAGTACCTGATTCCTATGTTTTCTACCGATTTCTACTGAAACTGTGATCCTCTCATTTCTAGTATGTCACACATGAGTTTCAGTGAAGCTGATATTCACACATATTCAATGAATACCATTTTCTTTCACTGGTGGCTGTTTTGTCTGCAGTTTGGAGTATATGTAGCACAACATTCAAGAGTGGTAAGAGCTCTCTCTCTTTCAAAGCACCATGTTTTAACAACAGTGAACTTTGTAATCGGAAATGTGTAAGTTTAGCCAAAGATGTATTGGAGTGAGGCACCTCTGTGAGAGTAGCCTGTAATCTAATACATGGGTACTCCCCCTGCACAAAGAAAAATGGGGATCAAGTCCCTGCTCTAGCTCAAACTGGGAATTGAACCTCTTTTATTTTTTTTTTTTCCCCACCCCAGAGGAGTACTGGGCTCTTGAGTCAGGAGTCTGTCTTTTTGCACATGTGTATATCCACGTGTATAGCTACCACATACACAGGCAGTCTCATTCACTGTGTTCTTTGTGGGAGAAGGGTGGAGAAATCTTAAGAAGGATCAGTTATGTTTTGTTATATGGTTTTTGGGATGGTGGGGTGGGCATCAGAGGGAAATTATTCTTAGTTTACCTGCCATAAGGAGCCAAATATTGGCTTTATTGTGCATGCAGGAAGCAGTAATCCAGAGATTAATGTGGATACGATGGATTTCACAAATTTGTTCAGGATGCACTAAGTGGGTGGTAAGAGTTTTTTTTGGTGTGGTGGTTTTTGTTTCATTTTTTTGTTTTTGTGTTGTGGTGGTTTTTTTTGTTTTTTTTTTTTTCTTTTGAGTCTCACTAGTGCCCTGAGTTTCTGGGACACCTTTCAGAAACCCAGGTTCCTGTGACTTCTCAGCTCAGACATAGCTGCTGAGATGCACCGTATTGTCTTTAGGCCTGATGAAACAACCTGCTCTGGGGAGGCTTTGCACAGTCCTGCTGTCTGGGTAAGGCAGAAGATCAAGAAACTTTTATTCTTACTTTACTCTCTGGGACATCTGACCTGGGCTTACAATGCTCTCTAATACTTACTTTTCATAGAGGATGCACATAGAACTCAAACTAGGTTCAATTATTTACAGACTTCACACACATTGATATGGAACAGTTTCTTTGGCCTCCAGCCTGGAATGACAATGTGCCCATAATCTGGGATGGTTTGGGAAATTAATTCACTGCAAATTTGGGAATAGATAACATAATCAAAATAGGAAATTATTTTTCTGTCTTTTCAGTATGCTTATTTGATAGGCACAAAAGAAACATTACTACCTTTAATTTTTGTATTCACTGAGTGGAGAATTGGGGATTTATGCCCTCAGATGTCTTTGCCCTTGGTTAGCTGGTCGTGTAAATTTAATTTGAAGCACCTTCCTATTGTAATGATAATGAGCAAGTCTCAAACTTTTCAGAAAGGAACAAAGGCAACTGTAGTCAAGAAAAGGAGACAACACCAAAGTTGTTAAAATTATGCTTTTTCTGTACTTACTAAAAAAATAAAAAAGGTCCTCACATGGTACAGACGCAGCATGTGCCACGCTGAAGCAGCTCTTTGATTAGTTGAGCTCCAAATGTCTTACCAGCCTGCGAATAGAAAGCACTTTACTGTGACAGCATCAGTCCATTTGCCATGGGCATGCCTGGACTGTGGTATCCAAGCAGACTTTAAATGACCTGCCACTGTGAGCGCGTGATGGGATAAACACTGCAAACAGCAGCAAGGCTGTACTCTCGGTATAGATGGTTGTTA